CACAGAGTCGACTCTTCTGGCTTTAGAGTGGACTGTATTATGTGAAGAGTCGACTACCAAATTCCAGTAGCATTTTTTCCCTTCATATAGTCGACTCTCCATGTTGAGAGTCGATTCTTAGTCCTTTACAGTCAACTCTAGTAAGTAAGATTGGACTCTTGGACAATTGGGGTTGAGAAAGTAAAAGAATTTCATACAAACTCTTAATAGTCAACATGAGAAAAACATAAGTAAGACAATGATACTACGGTTCTTCAATGGATCGTAATTTTTGAATGGCAGCATCCCAATACTTTTTTTCTATGGTAAGACGGCTACCACTAGGAAAAATCTTTGTAATTGTTTCGGAGGACTCAGTAGGGGCATTGGGTGGATGTGATAGAAATGGTGATCGATAACGATTCGAGCAACTTTTTGCAATATGACCGTCACGGTTACACAGTTGACAAGTTACAGCATATCGGTGCGGGCAAACTGCAGCTAAATGTCCAGGAGTATCACATATTTGACAAATAGAGTAGTCTACAATATTAGGCAATGGAATGTGTTGGTCAATTGATACATTATTCTTTGCTTTTTTTAATTTCCTGTTGGGAGAACTCTGAGATGGGCAATTCCATAATGATTCAGGAGTATCCTCTACTATTCCTGTGTAAAATAACATCAAGTTAAATAATGTGATAGTAAATGGGGTGAACGAACAGGAAATGAGAAATAAGGGAAGGACAAAAAAAAAAAGTTATACCATCATATTGGCTGTCAAAATATTCTTGACTTTCCAATTGGTTGTCGAAATATTCTTGACTTTCCAATTGACTATTAAAATTTGGTTGACTTTCCATTAAGCAATAGAAAAAAAGAGTTTTGAAATTTAAAAAAAAATTAATACTTTTAAATTATAATATAAAAATAATTATGTGGAGATAAAAAAAGTGAATTGCAAGAGTGAGGGAGAAATAGCAAGAAATTAGGAAGCGTGAGAGATGTGTATATATTAGCAGGAGAGAGGTGTATATATGGAGGGTGAATCAACTACCAGTCAAAGGTTTTTAGCAAGAAGGTGCAATTGTCTCACTTTCACCAACATATAATCCATGTTGCTAATTAGTGGCTAGAAGAGATGATTATCAATAGCAATATGATATATGTGGGTAAAGCTTTAGTAAAATTTAGAAAATTTCAGCAACATGGCTCTTATTGCTGAAATTCACTTTCAGCAACAAGAACCATGTTGCTGAAAGTGCATCTCATTCTGCCACCCACCCGGTCGCTGGGATTGGTTGCTACGCGGGGGCTGGAGGTTGGGAGCACTTTCAGCAACAAGAGGCATGTTGTTGAAAGTACAAGAGGTGATCAAAAGAGGGACACTTTCAGGAACCTGTCCCTTGTTGCTGAAAGTGCAAGGGGTGGCCGGAGTTGGGAGCACTTTTAGCAACAAGAGGCTTGTTGCTGAAAGTGCAAGAGGTGATCAAAAGAGGGACACTTTCAGCAACTTGTCCCTTGTTGCTGAAAGTGCAAGGGGTGGCCGAAGGTTGGGAGCACTTTCAGGAACAAGAGGCTTGTTGCTGAAAGTGCAAGGGGTGGCCGGAGTTGGGAGCACTTTCAGCAACAAGAGGCTTGTTGCTGAAAGTGTAAGAGGTGATCAAAAGAGAGACACTTTCAGCAACATGCCCCTTGTTGCTGAAATTCAAAGAACTCGTTGCTGAAAAGTGGAGCTCATTTAAATGGCCAAGAATTCACTGGAAAATATCAGCAAGATGGAGTATGTTGTTGAAAGTTACTTTCAGCAACAAGAAGTGTATTGGTGAAAGTGGGGTAGCTTTTTGCATGGATTGGTGCACTATAGCACTTTCAGCAACATGGGGTTTGTTGCTGATACCTATTTTCAGCAACAAACAATCTCATGTTGCTGATTTATTGTTGGTAAAAGACAAAATTTTAGTAGTGACAAGGCGGAGCACGACGAGACCGTAGTTAAGGCTATCTGCAGCTTCAAATAAGGATTTCTCAGCAACGCGGCGAGCCAACCCACCATCGCATTTGTAATCTGCAGACCCGATCGAATCCACACTTTGTGACAAAGAATCCTCCGTCAATCTCTCACCATTGATTTTGTTTGAAGAAGATAGAAGCAAGATACCCAAATCTAGGGTTTAGCAGACGAGAAAAAAGATTGAGAAAGTCTAGAAAAAGGAAAGAGAAAATGGTAGAAAGCTTCAGTTAACTCTAAATCGAAACCCTTGAAAATATAGAAAAATTTTAGGTGGCCCCATTTAAAAGAAAAGGTTGAAGTGACAGGAATCTGACGTGGACAAAAAAATAACATGGTGATAAGTTATTTTTCATGTCATTAAAGATTTAAAACAAAAATTGATTTCGTGGCAACTTAACATGCCATCTCGCACTTCCGTCAATAAAAAGACGAAATTAGTCTCAAAAATTAAAGTTCACATATTTTTTTAGTACTTTTTGAAGTTTGAGGGCAAATTTAGTTCAAAAATAAAAGTTTAAGGACTGAACCGGGGATTTAACCTTAATGTTAAGAGCTGTCTGTCCACGCTTTATAATTAACAATCAATGACAATTTAAATGTAATGTTTATCTTTAATTTTAATCTGATATTGACTTGACAGAGATAAAATTTTTAAAAATTAGTAATACTTTACTAATATCAACCTATTTTCAGTAAGGTTTTCCCAACTTTAAAACTTAGGATTAACTTAATAAATTTCTCTATTAATTTTGAATGTGGTTAATATCATGTACCAAAATGTTAGCGTTGCACAAATTTAATTTTTGTTAAACCATTAAAGTATGTTTCCTTATGGGCGTAAAGAACAGAGATCCACATAAAAAAAAATATTTTTAAAAAAATTTAAAATGTCAAAACTCATGTAACTTTTGGATTAGTCTTTCCCAACAGCACAACCTATTCCCTGATATTTCAGTCTTGGGCCATTTTTTGCTCATGGGTAGACCTAGTATGAGTATATGTTATATAAACTCATGATGAGTATACTTGTAATGAGTATATGTTTTATAAATTTATGATGAGTGTATTCATGTCAAAAAAAAAAAAGAAAAAATGAACTCTAACAAAAGCTTTTATAACTAACAAATGAATGATTTTATAAGTGTGAAAAATAAAGATTTCACATAAAAAGGTTATAAAAAAAATAATTTAAATATATTAAGATCTATATAATTATTAAATTAATTTTTAATTATAATATAATATCAAAATATAAAATAAATAACTGAATTTTTTTTAAAAAAGTCAACATATTTTATTTTAGACTAAAAAGATACTCTAACCATACCCTGGTTCGACTGGGTTCCCATTTTTTCATCCCCAACGGTCAAAAAAGCTTCTTTCTTCGCCCCACCTTGCCTTCCCCTGCCTCCACACTTTTACTCTCTGCAACCTCTAGTGGCGAAGACTGCCGGCTGTCTCTCCGATCCACTCTTCCAAGCCTCGATCCCCGCTCTCTCGGCGGATCTCTGAGCCGTGGTAAAATTTTTTCATTTCATTGTTCGCGATTGATTTCTGAATTCTGTTTTTCATTGCTTCTCCGTGTTTTTTTGATAAAAATCGTCCATTAGGGTTTAGGTGTTTAGGAATTTGATATTTCTGCAGAACACATGCAATTTTTTTTTTTTTTTCTGTTTGATACCAGTTACTAGTGAGAAATATTAGGGTTTTGCGATCCTGACGAGATGGTGTTATTTTCTATTATTTATATGATGAACTAACTTTGAAAAATCGGAAGAATTTTGGGATGGCAACTTATTTTCTTTGGTGCTGAATTGCCTATAACATCTATTTTTTTATCTGAATCTATTATTTTGGGGTGATGATATCAGTGACTCAAGAGCTGATCCTAGTTTGTTTAAATGATTCCAAACTCTTTGTTGTCTTCTTCAATTCTTCATTTGATTTTGAGTTTCTTTATTCACCATGCAATGCAGAAACAGTTAGTTGTAGAGAAGCCTTTCATCCTTCTGCAATAGGATTTAGTGCAAAAATCATGTAATGCGCAAAAAATATATATGGTAAAAATGTTAAATCAGCCTCCAAACTTATCAACTTTATGCAAATCTGCCCTTCAACTTATTTCCCAAAAAAAAAAGGAAGAAAAAAAAGAAAACCCGAATGCTCGTCAAACTTGAAGCAAACCATGCAAATAAGATTTGGGATCAACATTAAGGATTCAAACCCTGCAATATCAAATAATTAATTTTCTAACATACTAAAAATATTATGTTAATTTTGTCATTATTGTATGAGAATAATTTTTTTCAATCCATATTACATAAAAAAAAATGCAATTCGGGTTATGAAAGTGCTAAAATACCTTTAATGAATAACAGTCATTAAAAGACATTTAAATACTTAATTTCACTGTTAGGACTAAATGCAATCTGGACTGAAAAAAGCATTTATATTGGAGATTATAATTTCCTAACATTAACTGCTGATAACCTTCTGCAATAGCCTTTCATCTTTCATTACCCAGCCTGTGTAGATTACGCTCATTTATCCAGTTCCTTCATGACATTTGATGGTAACCTCTTCCAAATTCCAATGATCAAATTCCTTTATTGTTAAATACAAAGCTATACATTGATATGTTGCTAGCATTTGATAAAGAAATACTAGCAACTAGATTTTGCACTCATTTTCAAGACTCACGATATTAATTATTTTCAATTTGAATAACTTAATTTGTTGTATGTAATGAGAAAAAAAAATACGTGTTTTATGTATCGATAATATTATGAGTGTTGATGAAAAATATAAAAAAAGAGTATCACTGTCACTTCTCTTCTTACTAACAAATAAATTATTATCTCACCGTAAAACAAAAGAAGAAAATTAAAATAAATTAAATAAAATAATGACAAATTATGTAGATAATCAATCTGAAAAACCACACATTTAACTATTATGGCAAATCATCCAAAGCCTTAATGTTCAACAATTTCCAAGAAATAAAACCAGTCACAAATCATCTCAAACATAAGCAAGTAAATAAAATCAAGAAAAAAGAACGTGGCAGTTTTAGACAATAAGAAACCACGCAATGTCTGTTGCAACGAGGAACGTGTACCAAAAAGGAAAAGAAGTACAGGAGCTGACATCTTTTCTCTTCACCATCATCATCGCCAACAACTTTCTCATTTACGCCCAGCTATAGTAAAGACTGCAACACAAAGCTTATGATTAATATATATAAAGAAGGAAATTAAATATTTATAATGTTTGACATAGAATGTGTTAATGAAAGAGTTGCCTACCATTCATTTCTTGATTCATTGAAGCCGTCATCCATATAGTAGTCCGTTTGAAATCTGTACCTTGGTACAGAGGACATGTTTAAGGATTCAAGTATGACATGTTCAGCTTCCGCTATGTCCCCATCCACCAATATCTTCACCTCCTGCAAATTTTGAAGCTTCACCTTTTTAGCCTCGCCCACATTGATTGTATTTCCCACTATTTTCATAGAAAGCACGAGAAGTTTATTCAACTTTGCTAGATCTCCAATGCTAAACTCTTCAGGATCGTCACGATCAATTCTCACAATGAGACCCAATAATTGTGTAAGTCGAGTTAATCTCACAACTTCCTTTGGATAGCAAGCTAATTGGAGGCAGCCTGTGGTACGAAGAAGCTTCAAGTTGACTAAATTTCCTATCTCATCGGGCAATCTGTCGAGATTAGAACAGCCAGACAAATTTAATTGTTCCAAATTGTGTAATCTGAAGAGTGCTTTTGGCAACCTTTTAAGGTTTCTGCACCGACTCAAGTTAAGGAATCTCAAATGCAATAAGTTTCTTATTTCTTCTGGAATAGCTGAACCGTGATATCCCATCGCCATATCCACCACCCTTAAGCGTCTAGCTTGATTAAACAAATTATGCATGGCCTTTTCACTGACGGGAGCATGATCATCTCTACCATAACTCACAACACTTCGCAATTTTTCTGCATCAGGAATGAATTCAGGAAAACTGAACCCCCTTTCTACCATCACTGTCAAATGTCGAGGTGTTCTTTCTTGAGTTCTTTCACAGTTCATCGGTAAACTTCTATTACCTTCGGGGACCTCCAATCTCATACAATCTCCCCTTGTCAAAAAGAAAGCAAATTCATGTACCCAATCATGTATCTCAAAAAATCGATCTTCAAACTCAAAACCTTGGATGAAACAGCGATCCATTAAGCATTGAAAGTACTCAATGCCTTTTTGTTCCAATGGTGAATTGTCATCATCAAGGCCTAAGTAACCTTGTGCCATCCAGACTGAAAGCATATGAAAAACACAAAATCTTGTGTGTTTGTCATAGAAAGCAAAATATGTAAAGCACTGTCTTACTGGTGAGGGCAGATCATAATAACTCAACAACAAAGGAACAAAAACTTCTTTATGCATAATTTCCATTCTCCACAAATCACTATTCAAAACATTCTCCCACCCTTGTATGCCAGTTTTAAACCGCAAAAGGCCTCCCAAAGTCTTTGCAACAAGCGGCAGACCACCACACTTTTCTGCAATTTTCAATCCAGCAGGCTTGAGCTCCTCACAAGTCTTTTGGTCCTTCTCTCTTAGTGCTATTTTACTAATGATAGACCAACATATCCCTGGGCTCAAGTTTTTTAACTGAATGGTGTGTGAACTTCCCATAACTGTTGCAACAGTGCTCTTACGTGTAGTCACCAATATCCTACTACCCGGGGCACCACATTTGAAAGTAGCGTTCAGTCCTTCAAAGTCTTTTTCTTTTTCTGTCCATACATCATCTAAAACAAGAAGGTACTTCTTTCCCTCTAAGGACTTGCGAACTTCATCTAAAAGAGCATCTAATTGAACTGACTCCAACAACTGGAGGGTTGCTTGTTTTTCTAGGCCTTGAAGCCCTACAATGATATCTTTTGCGACTTTTCTCTCATCAGAAATGTTGGAAACATGTGTCCAGACTCTAGAAGTGAAATGTTGTTTAACATTTTTGTCATTGTAGACCAGCTGGGCGACAGCAGTCTTCCCAATACCTCCCATCCCCACTATGGAGATGGTTTGGATTGGGCTACCCTCCTCTTCTTTGCTAGCCTCACACAACAAATGGCTGATTATTTCATTCTTGACATCATCTCGACCAAGCAAGCTTGACTCATCAATAAAAGATTTGCTTTCTCCTTGTCTTGGCAGTCTACTGATCATTGCAGTGCTTGTTAACTGGTACCTATCTTTATCCTCAGCAATCTTATCTAACCTTTCATTGATTTCCTTTATGTTGTGAGCAATGCCACGGTATCTAACAGGATGAAAAGAAAAGCATCTGAGGAAAACACGTACCTTCCTCTGAAGAAAAGAAGCACTTTCCTCAGCTCCATCAGTTCGCCGATACAGGTGTACAGTCCTCCACTCATCCAAAGCATCCTCCATGTTAAGAGATTCTTCTCTGAGCCGATCTAGCCATAACTTGACAGGTTCCTCTGATATTTGCTTCTCCTCAGCATCTTTAAGTAAAGCTCTGATGGATGTGAGGTTGTCTCTGAGGTTTCTTAGATCTTCCTTAACACCCCTCAGTAGTGT